TAGTGTTCATGAATTGGTGTAGTCACAACATATGATAAGAAGTTTACACAGCTCAGAATTACAGCTATATRCATTAGATAAGCTGTATATTAACAAATGCATGGTTGGAGACCGAAAACGCTGAAGTCCTGGCAAAAAGAAACCGACCATAGAGTCAAACTTGTCATTAAAGTGTAGTGCAAATTAGCACATGTAAAACAAGTTAGAGATATAATCTCCGACTTTCATTGTTCATTGAAGTATATAATTTTGTAGCTAGATAACTTTGCTTACTAGACTATACTAGTAAAACAAAGAATACGTATCTTAATATTTGGAAAGATCGTACTTTGATTTATAACTTCACATTTATGTAAAATATATCTTTAATTAGTCATAGTTCCAGAGAGCATTAGTTGATATATTATATATACCACTATCCAGCTCTTTTAAGTTGTTAACACATATAATCATTACTTATAAGTTTCCTCATATTGAGATTTCTATAGTAAGTGATCTACTTGATTGTTTATTTTGTGCCAATTTCATAATTATAATAATTTTTGGTTTTGGTTTGGTTTTTGAATAATTTGTTAAAACTCAGTGTCTTCATATCAAAGTTATTGTGAACTTGCTTTGTATATGATATTATATAATAGTGTTTAACCAAAAACGTTTATAGTAAGATACATTGTAAGATACATGTAACCGATTTCATTTAAAACTATATTTGTAGTTATCGATACACCTAGTAATATCACTCCACGTTGCAATCACAGAAATTTTAGCACAGTTTCAAATATAATTTGATAGCTTAGTAACTATGCCAGGCTATATACTACTGGATACTGACAAGGAGGAAATACCAGACAAGTACCTATGCAGCTTCTGTGGTTTTTTACTCCGAGAAGCACGGCAAACACTTTGTGGGCACTTTTATTGCGATTCATGTGTTGCACAGCTTAAGGAGTAAGTAACGTTTGCAATGTATTCATTGTGGTTTTCTGTTTACTGTAGTTAAGAGAGTAAGCTATAGTTTGTGGTAAAGAAMTAAGAATGCATCAATGAGTTTGAAGTACAGTATCAGCCATCAGTCTTATTTTTCTGTCACAGTCAACAGAAAATCACAAAACAAAATATTGATTTTGGCTAGAAAAAAAGTCACAATTCTGTTAGCAAACCATTTCACTGAGATGTACAACGTACATGTAATAGAATCAACAACAGAACTCACAAACAAATGTTTTTAAATATGTACAGGTTTTTACTCGAACGAATACAATCTGTTATACTGACAGTTAATTGGCTCTGTTATTTTTCAGTAATTCGAGTATGACRTGTCTTAAAGATGGTTTGGAATGCCCTATTGACCAGGTACTAGCATGTTTGGAATGATTATTTCATTGTCTTAAATAATRTAGAAGATATTTCTCACTTTTAGGAAGAAATTGTAGATCGCCTAGCAACTCACCTTAGTCTGTAAAATAGACTGCGATACAAACTTTTATAGTTTATCTGTTACATTTGTTTTTAAGATATATCCTGATAACTTTGTACGAAGGGAAATCATGGCTATTGTGGTTAGATGCCCCAACACTGAGGCRGGGTGTAAGTGGAGAGGRGAAGTTAGACATTTAGAGGTGAGCAATAAATTGATAGAGCATTGAAGACTAGGAAGAACATGAGAAAATGAGGCTGGTAATTAAAGGTCTCAGTACTGATTTTCACTCAAACCTTTCCAATTTCAAACACCTGTATTTCCTGGTCCTTAAATGTATGAGCAATGAAACTTTTAGATCTTACTTATTATATGTTCTTCCAACTAGTWGTAATACTATATAGCCACACCCTTTATCATATCGTGTATATTCCCAGACGTCAGTGCACTGGTCATTGCCCAGGGTATTAAGATTAGGGTTGATCTCAAATCTACTCAGCTGTTATTGAATGTATTTGTGTCATCTTAGAAACACGYCAGTGAATGTGAATACCAGAAAGTCAAGTGTATCCATGCAAGCTGTGATGCTGAGATACTAAAAAGAGATCTAGAGAGCCATCTTAACAATGACTGTGAATACAGAACTGCAAAGTGTCCTTACTGCCAGAAAGAAGTGTCTATGGCTGACATGCAGGTCAGTGAGAAATTGTATTGTGAGAAAATTGTGAAGAAAAGTAAATTTAAGTATGTCCTCTGGGCAAGAAGTTGACTTTGGACATCATGGCTTCTAATTACCACTCTTGAAAGAATTGAAAACAAAGATCCTTGGAAAGAGTAACCTATTACTTTAGAGAGCCTTTGTCTTAAATTCTCTTGTGACTGCGTGGTAGTTGCAGTTACATTTGAAAATTTAGTAATGACAGGAGAATTGTTGCTGCTACATGTACATTTGTATGTCTACTCAGGCGATAACATGCTAGACAAGGGAGAGAGAACATTCAGTTTTTGAGTGTTTATAATGGAGCGTTTTGAGTGATTAACATACGAGATCATTCTACGTGTACCGGTATGTCATATTGCTTCAGTCATATACCTTTGGAAATAATTAATATCGTATTGTCACATCAAGCTTGTGCTGTCTCCATAGAAACATCAAAGTAACGAGTGCCTCCAGTTTCCAATATCATGCCCCAGTTGTAAAACAGAGGGAATCCCACGTGACATGGTGAGTTTGACCGTGTGAAATCTGGTATAGTCTGTAACAGGGACAGATCCAGCATTTTATGGGGGGTGGGGGGGGGAGGAGTGAGTGCTTTTGTCAGTAAATAATACAGTCCGAAGTGCGGTGAATAAATGTGCAGTGATTTATATGATTGCTGTAGTGTGGATAATTATATTATTATCCACACTGCAACAATCATGTAAATCATTACATATTTTGTCAATGATTGTAGGATAGTCTTCACTTTGTCTAATCATCATTGACCTGCCCTGATCATAGTAATGCCGTGTTTTCAGTGAAGAGACATACATTTAGTTATTATAGTATGTGTTAGTAATTCACTGCAACAACAATAATAATTGTTTATTATTCTCAGATGAAATCTCATCTAGACCCAATCTGGGGAGACTGTCCAGAACTTGAGGGGCCGTGTCCTTACTCTACTCTGGGGTGTCATGCCAAAGAGGTAAGGTAACRTTACTGATTAACTGTCAATCAACTTGAAGATAACAAAATAATATATGTCGTCAGGTCATGAGCAAAGATCGMCGTGCTAAACACRTAAACAACGCCACAGCATTGCATCTTAGTCTCCTACAGAAAGACTACCTCGCTCTAAAGGAGCGTTTGGAATTGTCTAATGCAGCAAGTGCACAAGCCACCCCCTTGGTGCCAAGTGAGGGACTGAAAGACCAAATGTTCAAGGATTTAGTTATAAAATTTGAAGCTTTGGCRCTTGAGAATGCAAACATGAAGCATCAAATATCAGAGCAAAGTAGGATTTTGTTAGAAGTTCAACGTCGTCAAGCTACTGCTGCTGATATTGAACTGGAAGTTGCATCCAACGCACCTTTGTTGAAGGATAAAGACTCAAGCAATGCCCTTAAGGTTAGAGTCATGTTAATGATGTGCAAGTGGATCACTTTTTATTGGGTTTTCACAAAGGACGTTTTTTGAATTGATTAGGTTGATTTATTATTATGATGAGCTGTTTGATTAACTGATTGATTGGTTGACTGATTGATTGGTTGATTGATTGACTGATTGATTGGTTGACTGATTGATTGGTTGATTGATTGACTGATTGATTGGTTGATTGATTGATTGATTAGTTGACTGATTGATTGGTTGACTGATTGATTAATTGATTTGCTTGACTGTTTGGTTGATTAAGTTGGTTCATTGATTGATTTGATTGTTTGATGGATGGATGGATTGATTGATTGATTGATTAATTGATTGATTGGTTAACTAATTGATTGGTTGACTGATTGATTGATTAATTGATTTGCTTGACTGTTTGGTTGATTGGTTGGCTCATTGATTGATTAAAGGACATCAGACGAAGATTGCAAAATTTAGAAAGTCGGCGTGCACAATTTGAAGTGGAGAACCTAAAAAGAACAAATGAGCAAATCGAGACTCTGGACGAAATAAAACGACAACTTGAAGAAATCTCCACAAATCAACAAGTGATAGAGACTAGACTACACTCACAGGTATAAAAGCATTATGAAATTGATTGATTAATTGATTTGCTTGACTGTTTGGTTGATTGGTTGGCTCATTGATTGATTAAAGGACATCAGACGAAGATTGCAAAATTTAGAAAGTCGGCGTGCACAATTTGAAGTGGAGAACCTAAAAAGAACAAATGAGCAAATCGAGACTCTGGACGAAATAAAACGACAACTTGAAGAAATCTCCACAAATCAACAAGTGATAGAGACTAGACTACACTCACAGGTATAAAAGCATTATGAATAATAATAAAGATAATTAGTTATTGTTAGTTAGTTAGCAAATATCATTGTGTAATTAAAACATCCAACAATACTACTTGAATGTGTTTATTTTCTTATTCAAATAAGCGATTTGTATGATGGCGTCATGTACGACAACAATSAGAATGCTTTGTGTACATTCCTTTTGTAAAGTAATTAAGTCCCACTTCTTTTACTAAGTCCCTAAGAGATAAAAAACTGATTAACAAAGAAAATGTGAAAGGCTTTCTGGTAGTTGTAGCTGTAAAGGTACTCCATCTTAAAAATGTCCTATTGTCACCATCATTATAAATATTCTATGTATTACATTGATTTAAATTACTGTCATAATTGTGATTATAATGCCATGTAACATTTAACATCTTAATCCAATATTATTACCATTCCCCATAGTATATCATAATCATTATTATTAATATTAATATCATCTTAATATTCATTACTAGGAAACTGCCCTTGGTATGAACAGTGTGGCAATGGCAGATATGGAAGAGAACCTGCGTGACTTAAACCTTGTCACATATGATGGCATCTTGCTATGGAGAATCACAGACTTTGCACGAAAGAGAACAGATGCCGTCGCAGGACGTGAAACATCCTTCTATAGTCACCCTTTCTACAGCAAAAGACAGGGTTATAAGATGTGCGCGCGCATCTATCTCAATGGTGATGGCATGGGAAGAGGAAATTCCATCTCATTATTTTTTGTGATTATGCGTGGCGAGTATGATGCACTCTTACGCTGGCCATTCAGACAAAAGGTCACCCTGATGTTGCTTGATCAAGATAACATTGAACATGTGATTGACGCATTCAGACCTGACCCAACAAGCTCATCTTTTCAAAGGCCAAGGGCAAAGATGAACGTGGCCAGTGGCTGCCCACTGTTTTGCCCTCTGACCGAACTTCCAAGGCATGCTTATGTGAGGGAAGATACAATGTTTATTAAAGTTATTGTAGATACTCTTGATAATTTTTAAAGGCCGGCCAGTTTGCACCATTTATGCTTTGCGCGCATCTGTTATTAGTCGGACTAGCCGAAGGTCTAGTCTAAACATCAGAAGTACGCACATGTGYGGATCGCATGGAGCTTCGAGTAGTATGCTTACGGAACTGAATGCTTGACAGTCTTGTTTGGGCAAAGATTTTAAATTAGAACAAGAAGAAACTTTGTTTATCAATAACAAAAAAGGCGACTTTGATTATTTTATAGGCATCTTTTTTAAAGTACTTATATTTTCTTGGCCAGAGAGGTCAACAATTTGAATTAAAAATGTATTAGATATGATATCACCATGCTTTTATTATCCATGATATCACTTAGCGACATTTAGTCTGGCTACCWGGTATTAATTACATGACCTTTTAGGTCAAGATTTAGATTTCTGTTGTTGCAGAGAGCAGTCAAAAAGAAYATCGTATCGTGTGAATAAAYGGTMACRCATTCTTGCTTTCACTATGTATTCGAAGTAAAAAATATAATATTCTATGCCATAATATACATTCAAAAATAGCTAGTCCGACTTCATAATGGTGCACACTGGGCCTTTAAAAAGGTGGAACTCAAGGTATTCTTTGTTTTCTGACTATGGCAAGTTGGTTTACATTGTACTTGTTTTTGGTACACTTGATAGCTTTTAAAGAAGAAGCTCAAGAAGCTTTTTCCATGTTTTCGCTAGGTGTCAAATTAATACATATTGTAATTTGGGTATGTAAATATTTATGTTGACATTTATTGAGTTAGTTTTGTTTGTAAATACATTTAGAACCAAATCAAACGTAAATTTGCTTCAAATTTAACAATCTGTATGCTGTACAAAAAAAAAAATATAAAAAGAATAAAAAACAAATTCCAACCAAAGGTTTAGTGTGCTGCTTGTTCTAAATTATAATGGCTTTATTGTGTACAATTATGATTCCTACTGTTCACTCGAGTTCATAAACCAACACAACATATATCTGCCTAGATGGGTCCASGCTCAAATCTACACACTTTAATCACACTAAGTATCATCTACAATATCATAAAAAAAGCATAAAAAATTCATAAAAAGTTCAAAAGTCAATCAAAGCTTGGACCACACTGATTACACAATCCCTTGACACACATTATATACAACTCATTAGCATACTGGGCCCAGTCCTCTCGTTCCCATAGGAACACATTTCTCTCTCCATTCCAATACGCTGCGCTCCTTGTCCATTACAAGAGGAATCTAGTTGTTTTAAAGTAGCTAGCTAATTGGGATCTTTTATTATTTGAGGAGTTAATTATCTGTAGCAATGTGAGTGTCATAAGCCTGAATACTCCAATTTCGAGTTCTGGTTTGCTCTGTGTTAGCCTCAAAACCAAGTAACATATTCTTTTGTTTTATTGATAGCCTGTGAAAACGCATGGAATTTGAAAAGGAATACAATAGAATTGATATGAAATCTCACACTTTTATTCTCACAATTACGAATATTTTGTGCACAAATGAGGCTAACACAGAGCATTGAAGAATTCGAAACTGGATTATTAGATGGTAGAACTTTTGCCTATAACCATGACATTTTGTGCATTATTTAACTTATGACAATATTACAATTCATGTAATTTATAGTAATTTCGCCCTGYAATTGTTTCGCCACAGCCTAATTTTTTCATGTATACTCGAATAATGTAAGATCCCATAAATAATTATTTATTTAACTAACAGCAAAATATAAATATGAAAAATAATGAAACCAAACATGTCTTTTACATCCATAATGCATTTCCAGCAAACAAAATTATGAAGTGAATGCAATCTCTGCTGAAACTCTGAAAATAAATCTATTTTATAATAATTGTATATAATTATCTCAAAAATTATTGTATAATTATCTCAAAAATATCACTTATGATATAATAACTAATAGCTATTAAATCGTAATAATAATTAATAGATTATAATTATTTTAGCTTTTTTATGTGGTATCAATARACCTCTGAAGCTTTCGCACCATGTAGCGTACACAATACACAATGCATTGTCACGTGTTGAAAGAACAGAGTTATATGAACCATGAAATAAAAATTAATTCTGACTCATTAACCCGTGAAACAAAGTGTAATAGTCAAAGTGTAATAAAGTGTAATAGCCAAGAAATATAATAGAAAACAAAAGAGACAAAGTGTAATAAAGTGTAATACGCTAAAATGTATTTCACGGGTTAATGAGAACCACTCTAACTAATAGACACTATAAGTTCCTAATAGTCGTTAGTTTATTTGATCCAACAAGCAATACCCAAGAGACCACTATATAACAATAAAATCTCTTTGTCTTGTTCTGGTTCAGTGATAGTGTCTAAATAGTGCCTATTAGTTACTAAATATTTAGTTTCTATTTCATGGTTTAAGTGACTCTGCTCTATTATGATATGATTTGTGGAAAGTTTTCAGATCGTCATTGATGCATTTACCAGMAATTTGCAGTAAAAATTAATTAAAGTAAATTTTGATTAACACAAGTTAGTATAATTAAACAACTATCAAAAGACTGCATACTGGACATGATTTAACTTGCAGCCATTGTGAGATCTTCCTGTGGCCATGTCTGACTGTGGTGTAAGTCTGTTGTGCACTCAATCCCAGCCAAGGATGATGATGATGATGATGATGATGATGATGATGTTATGCTAGTGTGAAAATATAATTCACATAACAATTTGTTCATAAGTCAAATTTTTCACTTAGTATATCACTTCTCTTGACTGGATAAAATCACAGTCACCTCTCACTGAGAATATTCCTTTTTGATCAAATCTATGACATCAAATCTCTTCATTTTAACAAGAATCTTAACGAAATTTCCCAATGTCTCATTTGGCTTGATGGTGTGAATTTTCYGTAATAACTCTTGTCCAGGGGTTGAATTATTACTTCTGWAGGCCATTTCYATGAGATCTAGGTCATGCCTCGTTACTCCATACTCGTGCCCAATATCTCGCCAGCCTTTCACTACTATACTGGGCTTACTGATTGYAGCTGATATGGAGCGCTCCAAATTAGGTGAGATGCTGTGTAATAAAATGTCAGGAACTGTTGATAAAATGAAAATATTGTTCTGTTAAATATCACCATAAAACAAATGTCAGATGGTTGAAAACTATTATAGTAGCGTTTAAAGTGCTTAGAAAAGTGAGGCAGTCAAAGATTTGAATGGCCACCCCCAGGTYTGCATGGCCCCCAAACCATAATGTGCACGCTGGGCCTTTAAACAAGAAATACAAATTATTCTACACATAGCGCAATATGTCTTTACCATGCCATTCCTAACAGATTCTTTGTGCAATGAATGAAACTTTTCGTGGTTAAAGTCAAACGGGCAACATGTTTGTTGCAGACCTCAGGTAAACGAAAGTGCCAAGCAATAATCAAAATTATGACTTTTTTCACCTTCAAAATCTTTTCTGACATTGCAACAAGGATAAACAAGTTCAAAACTGACATTTTTTTGGTTGTTGCCTGATTTTGCCTTGCTTTGGTTCAAAACCACTACAGGCAGCTCATAACCACAAAAATGGTTATTTTCTGCAGCCATAAATCCATCATTTTATTTATTTATTTTGTTAGCCACCACTAATTGTATTGTCCTGGATCTGCCACTGATCAGTGAGAAATACTTAATGAGTTCTTGCAAAACAGCTTTAAGGCTGTCAGCTAAACCATCTTGTACAATACATTATAATATTATCAAATTAATTAATAATTCAAAAGGTAAACACAATGGAAAATCATTGCCGTGACCGCATCTTTATATGAGCAAGAGATTTGTCATGATTTGCATACGACTTTAACTTCGATTTTCTCTTACAAATKATATTTTATCCTGAAGTTTTTTTCAAAATATGCTTTGCCAGTTAGGTTGGAATTTGATAAGCAATATAAAATATTCGCGTCCGACCTTTATGGGCTATAAAATGCACATAAAGGTCTCCCGCTCATATTTTATATATTACATAAATTTAGATCTAATGATAATTACCAGTGAGTGCCAGAGTTTCATCACCCAAAGATGCCATTCTTGAAACTGTTGAGCTAGMTGTTGTGATATTTCTCAGACAATTTGTTACAAATGTGCACATGTTTGCGAACAGGTGTTTATATTCACGCACAACCCAGACTATCACAAAAATAGTRGCTAACCCTAGTGCACATCCAATATATATTGGAAAAAGGTCTTTTGATTGGCTCTTATGGTGTTGTATAACAGACTTAGCTGTGGCACTTGGTGAGATCTTACTGTGTAGAGTTGACGTTTTGTTGACGATGTCTTCAGACCGYTTKGTCAGATTTATTTTTTTCCAGATATCATGAGTTATGTCTTTCTCACATAACTCAGTAACAGGACTYCTTTTGAACCCTTTAGCACAGTCCTTACTGCAGATGGTGTTGTGTGTTGAGTTGCAAKGTTGCAACATATCTGTCCCCTCACAAATATGACAGGGAATGCATGATCCAATGTCGTCATTGTTGGAGTAAGTCACTCCTGGCTTGCATTTAACACACTTTGGAACTTGCATGACAACTTGGCTACTGCATTGAGGTTGAAAACCCTCTCCACGAGGACATTTCATGCAATTTACGCAAAGACATAATGTGAAATCATTGTCTATGCATATTTCCACTTGTGTGTGACTGCATTTTGCTGCAGCAATGCAGTAYTGGCAAAGATATGCCAACAAGAAGAGAAGAACCTATAAGAAAATAACCAAAAAATAAAAGCTAAAAATGTTGCTTATCTATTTATGATTAAACAGTGTGAATCRATAGATTTTGTGCCAAAAGAGAAAAAAATTATTGTGTAGAGACTAACCTCCTCCCACCCCACCCCCCAGTCAAATGGTTGTTTCACAGGAGTTCCCCCTCCCTCCAAGTCAAATGACCTGATTCATATGGTGAACCAAAAGTAACAGTATGCGGTATGAAGCACGCTAGCCTCATTCAACGACTCCTTTTCTTTATAATTAAATCTTGTAAATAATKATTTAATAAATAATAAATATTTAATAATTATTTGTAAAATGAATGATTATAAATTTAAGATTGATTAGTATGGGTTGTTTTCTTTTGTTTTCTTTTCCTTATTACTGTAAAGGACAACAAAATAATTATATCAAACTAATCAGCGCTCTAAGCACATTTCAGATCATATGATCRGCACCTAAAGCATTTAACACTCGGTAAACAAGTCTATTCAATGTTTGTTCTTCTTCAGACTGTTTCGTCATAGTTATACTATGGTTTCATGGACTTTAAAAACCATTCTTGTTTATAAAAAGATAATGTTTTGTTGTCGTTTTTTTTAAGAATGTAATGATGAAATGACATCTAATATTACACCAATTAATCGATTGAATGAAGATTTGTTTTGCAGTAGTCAAAAAGTGCTGCTTGCGCAAAATAAACTCGTCCCGTCATTACAATAAATTGGAACATCGTGTGAATTGTCGCGTCATTCTGCAATCGAATGGCTTTTTGAATACCCCTCCGTCTCGATTAACTATTCGTTTTGAATAATAGACAATTTTGTGGCGTTACAGGTTACATGATTATGACGATTTCCACGCCAACGTGGTTAAATATTCTATGACTAGATCAGCAAATAAAGGATCTTACCGGTACCATCACTGTCCGATGCATTAATCTTGACATTTGCAGACGATTATTTTTCATTTTTGAAGATTTCACATCGAAAAAAATCGAATATATGAAATTAACAAAAGAAATAGATCTCGACGAGGACTGCGAGTTTTTAACTTAGCGAAGTTGACGTTTGACGTGCCAGTTCAGGGGATTCCCCTAATGATTAATTCATGAAGATGTACTTGCATATGTTAAAGATTCGTTCGCATCCGTTTGTGGTGTAAATTTAGTCTGCGAACTGCGAGGAGCTTATTCGCTCAGAGAATCAATTTAGATTTTATTTTTAGATAAAAAACAATTAGGACATTCGCAAGTTTTTAAGGTTTTCTTGCGTTAAGGCCGGTTTAAGCTTGCGATTTTTGCAGCGCGACGATCGTCATTTTGTACATGTAAACAGCCCTGCGATTGTTGCGGTGATCGGAAATTGCCGTGAATTTGCAGCTAAATTTCAAGCATGTTCGAAACTCAGGTGATGGTCGCGCGACAGTCGGGCTGCAAAAAACAGCAAGTGTAAACTTGCCTATAGAGTGCTAATAATCTCTGCTTACTCTGCTAGACATATTTTGAAAAAAACATGACTCGCTGATATTTTTCCACCTGGAATTATGTCTCTCGTTGCAGCTGCAAATATATTATATAAAGGTTTTATCTTGTTTTAAAAGGTTATCTTAGTTTATTAACTTTCTTTCGATTATTTCTCGGATTTAATATGCACCTGGGACTCCATGACCAAAATAGACTGTTTGTTCTATATTTATACAATGCAATTCGCCTTCTACGGCTTATCCAAAGACAAAATACAATGCCCATATATTGTAAAAATAGAAAAGTGAACTATAACGAACGGCGCCTTGTAACTAAAAGTAAACTCTTACATCATTGCTGAAAATCGGATATGACGTAATGGAAATGACGTATAATTATATTGTCTAAAGAAGGCTCACGTGCATCTATTTTCTATGAATGTATTTTTTAGCTGTTTTTAAATGGTTAATTCAACCTTTCAAACAGATGACTCCGCAATTTCTTTTTATCAGTTCTGCTGTTTAAACAGCTGGTGATGCAAAATCTCATGTTTTTTTGCAATAGGGTCGGCGGCTATAAAAATGAGTGGAAATAGTTTTCAATTTGT